ATCAGAAGCTGAGAACTTCCTCAGTCACCCATGGAAATTGTTTGCGAAGATTACTACTAACCGGCGCGAAACCTTTCTCGGTCGGGCTCACCTCGGCCTCCTGTCCTTGGCTGGATGAGGTAATCTCCATGTTTAACTCTGCAGAAGGGGACTCCATAAAAACCTAGAACAGCAAAGTGGGAGGATTAAAAGCAAAAAGAGTACATAGCAAGGAAAGTACGCACCTGAGATAAACCTACTACTATGAGAAGAGCTGGAAGAGTCGTCTGAGGTTGCCAAAGGGGTGGGGATAGATGAGCCAGGATGATGTGAACAACTGCCTAACACTAGATCGGCCATGAAATCGTTTTCTTTTTCAACAAATTGAGCACTAAGGTAAACACAATTAAAACAAGGATCTGAATTCCTACTACCCGAGTTGGCTGACACAGTCTGATTAGGGGTGTGAAGAGAAGCAGGGTTATGGGTTGAAGTTGGGGTTGGTCGTAAAGGGGTGGAGGTTTGACCTAGATTGTGAGTAACACGTCTTGGTAACACCCCTACATTACAACGGAGACCTCGATCGCGTCCTCTAGTATGGGGGCGAGATGAAGATGCTCCCCTGGTCCCACCACCTGGACAACCTCTTAGTAAGCCGGCCTGAATTTCCTCCTCGGTCCGAGGTCTACCAAACAACCAAAACCTTAGACCAGGAGGCAAGTTCTGGATGAACCTTTCTTCTTCCTCTGGATACCTCTCTTCTTCTTCTGCTTTAATTTCATCGTTATGACCGAAGATACGAGGGCAAGTGGATCTCCCTCGAATAGTGAAGTTCCTCTCACCCATCTCAGGAAAGAGTTTTCGAACTAAGAAACAAGGGAAGATAAGCAATAGCAAGGAGGTTTTCATACAGGAAATGCAATGCAAACGAATGAAGTGTAGTCAGACAAACAAGAATAAAATGGCACACTAGAAATGCAAATGTGGTAGTACCAAGCTTATTGTGACAGAATAGCGTGCGCGACAGGTTTAAAGCATATTGAGAGAATAACAAAGCAGCAAATAGCGTTGGAGGAAAAGTAAACAGACAGAAACAGAAATAAAAGAATGGCAATAAACGTACCTGAAGTAGGTCTTGAAGGAGTATGAAGGAAAGAAACCTAGAGAAATTAGGAAGGGAGGTTACGAGGATGATGAGGGGAAGGGAGTTTCGGTGAGAATAATGCAAAGATGAAGAGTAAAAACCAGAATATTGAAGTAATGGAAAAACCGAAGTTGAATAGGCAAAGACCCGTGAAACCAAAAGGCAAGGGCGCAAGAGTAAAATTGATAATAGACAAGACAGTTGAGGGACATTTTTACAGTGGCAATTAATGCGGAACGGCGTGGGGAGGAGTAGTGGCACACGTCGCATTGGTTGAGGAGGGCCATGTGGAAAGAAATCATCATTATGTAAAAGGAAAACCGTTTCCCAGGAAAGAGGAATCATTTTTCAAAAGAGGAAACTTTATCACGTCTCGGGTGATTCATCTCGGATAGAGTTCATATTTGGAGTAACCCAAAGAACCTCGTCCATCCGAGTCAGACCGACAATGCAAAAGTGAGGCCGAGGTAAAAGGAATGCCGGGATGAAGGGAAACCGGGGTGAAACATGCACATCGAGCAATGTAACTATGACATCCTGGCACCCTGAATACTCAGTCTACCGGGTTGGGGGTACTGTTATGGACCTGAGTGAGGCCCACGTCCATAGAAGGCCCAAGTGATACAAGCCCAAAGGCAAGCACTACAAATAGGAGCTAAAGATCATAGGTATAACTGATCTCTTTTAACCCTACTTTTATGCAACCACACAGCGCACACGCACATCCTCTGGCTAAAGCCGTCATATAGTGTGTCGTGATTCGCTGCCACCAAGATACCTAATTCATAGGTATCTAGAGAGAAAGCACCAGATCCAACATCAATCATCTAACCTCCAAGTAGACATCCCTGCCTCAGGCAGAACATGTTCTTCTGTGTTCATGCTCCTATGTGAGGGTTTGTGTCCCTTAACATATTGCCACGCATGCTTTGTTATTTGAGTTAACATATAGCTTAAGAAATTCCTACACCTGCAATAATTTAAAAGATAGCCCCCCTGCAACAATTTAAAAAATCCCCACACTTAATTGTTTATAGATAGTTTTATTTTATTATTTTTTAAACTTCCCTTTATTTTGTTTATAATCAATATTGAATATTAGAAATCGTTTTTACTATTTCAAAACTTTCAATTTTTTTTTTTTGGTGAAAAACTTTCAATTATTTAATTACTCAATCATGCACACCCGGTATTAATATATTAATTAAGATAAGGTAATTACTCAATTATTTGATTGATATTTTATACCAATAATTCTGATTTTTTTTCTTTTCGTCCTTAATACATTTTATATTAATTGACTTTATAAACGTGACAATTCTTTACTCAAATTTCATTTCTCTCTTTTGGCAAGTGATATCATTTACAATATTTTGACAAACTTTCGCTTATAACACACGGACAAGCAGGATTAATGTTTTTTTCCTTAGCAAAGAATTATTTGATTAGTCATGGAGTTATTAGTATTAGTTGAATGGGATTAATATTTTTCCCACAATATGAGATAATATTATTTTGACGACATTGTTTGAGGGTTTCAGAAAAATAATGCATGATATTCTAGTAAAATTCATAATAAAAAAATAAAAGTAAAATTTTTAAAATACCCTGTATTTTTTTTTTTCCTAAACACCAAAACGACGTTGTTTCGTTTTGAGGTTACGGAAAATAATTTCATCTCCTATTACAGGAGAAAAATATCACTATTTGATTGATATTTTATATTAATAATTGTTTATTTTATGTCAACCAAAAAAAAATTCTGTTTTTTTTTTTTGTCCTTAATATATTTAATCGTAATTGGTTTTCTGTAACATGACAATTCATTACTGAATTTTCATCGCGTGCATTCATTTTTCTTGTCTTTAAAATACTTCTATATATTAATTGTATCTTTCGGCAAGTGGTGTCATTCGGTTCTTTGACAAAGTTTAGTTTATAACATACAGACAAGCAACTACTAAGATACGTGATCCTTCTCAATATCATCTTTGGAAGATATTTAAAACCTTAATCCCGATATCCGCCCTTAATCGGACTTGTCACGAATGATGAAACGATTGGAATATTTTTTTAAAAAAAAAAAACCAACTTCTCTGAAAAGTAAAAAAACATTTTGTTTTAAAGACAATCTTGATATTTTATAATCTTATGTCACTATGAATAAACAAATTAATTTTAACCCTTGTATTCACTTCTCACCTGATTTTCCTTCATTTAACTATTAAATATTATATGAATTAGGAACAGGTTGTAGAGATATAAAATATTCCATCTTTAATTAGGATAAATTTAGAGACGAAAAAACAATCTACCCTAATTAGGATGAAAATACCGATAAAATAAATTCTTTCTGTAGAGACGGATTTTGAAAGGAAAAACATATAATTCCCATATTTAGGACAAAATATTTTTCTTTTAAAATATGCTCTTAATTTCGTCTATAATAAAGAAAGAATATTACCCGTCCCAATTTAGAGATGAAATTGACCGTTCTTACTTCTCACTTTTTTATTTTCATTTTTTTTTAAACAATAAAAAGTGAAAACATTAAATAGGCATCTTGCCTCCATCATGTGCATGCCTCGTCTCAACAATGATCAAGCTTTTAATTTTTTTTAGCAGAGAAACATTTGTCATGGAGTTGTTATCATTTGCTAAATCTTATTAAATAAAATTATATATTATGATAAATTATTTAATTTATATTTCATATTAATAATTTGAAATTTTTCTTTTTCCCTAATAAATTTTTGTTTATGCATAATTGTTTTTTGGGTTCGCTTTTTCTGCTGCAGATAAGTTATATGCAGTAAGCCCAATACGACATCAGTTTAAGACGAAAATCATGGTATTTTTATAATTTTAATTTATTTCAAATTTATTACAATCTTTATAATTATAATTTTCTAATCTTTCAATCTCAAAACAACATCGTTTTGCAAGTAAATACAGATAAATTATTTGCATTAACTACAGAAATATTTTTCTGTTGTTTTTATTTTATTTGTATTTTTGAATTACGTGTTCATTCTCTGGATCAGGACAATAAAACAATTTTATCAAATACAGTTTTTACCATTTATATTCCACAAACTACAAAAAGAAAAATTAAGAACGTTGGAGCTCATTTGAGATATAACTGTACCTATGAATCATAACTAGTGAAATTACTGGACTCCCTTCGCGTCGCTGCCAAATTTCATTGGGAGGTTTCCTATTGTATTTGGAGATAGCAACTATGTTATATGTAATGGTCTGCATATTGCAATTTGTAAAGAAAGAACCTTAATAAAGAAACCAAAAGCTTAGCCACTAACCGAAAGATCATTAATAAAGCAGTTCTCGTGACTTTTCACAATGCTATCCTTTCATCTGTGTGGTAAGCACTACAATTGCACTTATACTGGTCGCTCTTTAATCTGTTTTTCTATCTGAGTGTTCCATCCATCATTCAAGGGCAAAAACAAGATAAAACCAAAAACAACAATGCAAGATAAGGTCATTATTATTCACAAACTAATAAACGAGGCAATCATTATACCAATGTGGGGGTGAGAGCATATATTCGATCCTCCACAATACCATCTTTGAAAAGGATTTAAACCTTAATCCCGAAACTTGCCCTGTATCGGACTAGTCGCGAAGCGATGAACCAATTGAAATATCTAAAAAAATAAATAAAATAAAAAAAAAGAAGCTATCTTCCCTTTACTTGCCATTGCATGCGCACCATTTCAATGAATTCATGAACCAATTACAACAGAGATTTTGGCTACTAAAGCCTATTAGCTCATACTAAGTTATAAATTTACTGTCTCCACACAAAAATTGCTGCTGACATAACTGATATAAAGGAATATTAAAGCAACAGTGGTGAAATCACAAAATAAGTGCTTAATTGGAAACAGAATGATAAAACTCATTACCTACCAAGAATAAGTAAAGAATTCGGTTGAGTCAGGATCATAAAAAAACTATCGACCTACAATAATGCCAAAAACATGCTTGGCTTTGACTGCATGTTTAGCTTGAAGACTTAAAAATTTAACTAAGCTTCATGCTGCTCTCACCCAAATCCACTGAAGAAAACAGATTCTTTATACAAGAAACAATTCTTTTAGAAATTGTATTTTGTAACCAGATCCACTTTGTATCATCATGCATATAACCTGGGCTGACATGCCTTAATTCTTGCATTGACTACAAAAGTTCTGTCTTGCACAAGTTTCTCTTCAACTAACCTTACCAACATATATTAAGTTTAGTGATTCTTCTTACTTTTCTTCTTTCTTGAGGCAAAGCTGCTTGGTCCAATTTCTATGGACATTCTTTTCGTACTGCAGGGTATGGGGAAAAACAAATTCAAATATAATTGTGCCAATATGGAAAATTGGGCAATGTCACTGACTTGTCCTAAACATTTAGAAACTATTTCATTTGATGTATTTCATACAGAAGCCAAATACCTCAATGATAACTCTTCTGACTCCTTGCAATCCTCAGCAGCAGCACCATCGTCTATGAAAACAATGTCATTACTCAGTTAATTTTTCTTGTAGAAGTAAAATAAGGAACCATATGAGAGACCAATACTCTTACCCGTAACTGGGATAAGGAACAAGTAATAAACTAATAATGTGAACGTGTGATGAGACCGGACTTAACTAGGTTGCTGATGGGCCTTTAAATAACGGGCCTCATCCTCCAATTCATTGTAGAAAGGAAAGGGAGCATAAGGGTGGAATGGGGAATGAGCCGGGAACTGTAATGGAAGAGGTTGTTACGCAAGATAAAGGTGGCACTGAACAAATGGAGTTTACTGCTAACCAAAGACAACATTTTTGCTTCAAATACAAAAGAATGGGAAGGTAATAGAGATAAAAGGAGACCCTGCACTCTCAAGGCTAGTGGACTCATTATAGGCAATGATGAAGGAAATGTGCAATGAAGCTAAAGCTTATTATGTGAAGTTGGCCAGTTGGGTATGATGACTACGATGGGACCATAAGAGTTTACTGCTCCAAAGACCATAAGAGAATCAGGAGAGAAGTATAAGGAATTGTTTAAGGATATTTCAGCGTTGCCTCCGAAGAGGGAGTGTGATAATGCTATTGTGTTGAAAGCAGGAGCCCAAATCTCCACCATTCGACCTTATAGACACCCCCATTGCCACAAAGACGAAATTGAGAAGTTTGTGATAATGTTGGCTGCGGGATTAATATGGCCAAGTACAAGTCTGTATTCCAGCATACTTATTTTGGTTATGAATAAATATGGCAGTTGGCATTATTGTGTAGATTATAGGACGCTTAATAGTGTAACTAACTAACTATCCCTAACAAATTTCTCATTCCAGTGATTGAAATTGAAATAGATGCTTCAAGTTATGGCTTTGAGATTGGTGCAGTCCTTATGCAGCAAGAAGGCCCTTGGCATTCATTAGCCAAGCACTTTCAGAGAGGTCTAAAGCTAAGTCTATCTATGCAAGGGAGCTGATGGCCATACTCTTTGCTGTTCAAAAATGGCTGCAATATCTGTAGGGGAATCACTTTATTATTAACACAGACCACAAAATTTTAAAATTTCTATTACAGCAGCAGGTACTAGCAGATGAACATCAAATGCGGGTTAATAAAAGCCAATTATTACTCAAGGGAGCTGATACTTATCTTGGGTCAATGCTACATCCATGATCACTAATTCAGATTTAATTTACTAAGCTGAGGAATTATTGGCAGATGATCAACTGAAGTTGCTTGCTTATGCCGAAGGTGCCCCAAACCCTATATCACATCCTCAGAATTCTATTTCAAAAGGGTGTCTTTGGTTCAAGGGAAGGATAGTTTTACAGAGAAAATCAGCATGTATTCTACTCCTAATGAAGAAATTTCATGAATCACCTTGGGGAGGCCATTCATGGGTGACCAGAACCTACAAAGGATTAGCCATGGTATTCTATCGGAATGGCATGAGGAGGGACATAGAGAAGTATGTAGCAGAATGTCCGGTTCATCAACAGAACAAGTTCCAAGCTCTCGAGCATGCGGATTTGTATTAGCCACCGCCTATTCCTAATCATGTTTGAGAAGATATTTCCATGGATTTCATTGCGGGACTACCTAAAGCTACGGGATCAAACTATATTACGGTGGTGGTAGATCACTTGAGCACATATGCACATTTCATTCATCAGCGTCATCCTTATACTTCTAAGGAAATAGCTCAAGCTTTTGTGAAAGAGTAAATCAGGTTGTTTCATGAACCAATTCTCTCAAAAGTTTAAGTTGTTAGGTGAAAACACATATATGGTTTTAGATTACATCTCTTAACTCACATGCTCATGCCAAGTGTGGATGGTGCACAAGACCCAACTACTTTGTGCTAAAAAAATTATTAGAAGAATGGAGACGACAAGAATTGAATTCTATACCACTAGGACATATAACTAGAAGATATCATCAACATCAACATCAACATCAACAACACCTTTATCCCAAATTAATTGGGGTCGGTGGTAGATGAACCCACATGAAAGATACAAAACGGTTGAAAAAAAGTTAAAAAAAATAAAAAAAATAAAAAAAAAAGTAAAAAAGTAAAAAAGCCAAAAATAAATAAATAAAAATAAACAAATAAAATAAAAATATAAAATAAGATAAAATAAAATAACAATATATGTATATATAAATAAATAAAAGTAAAAAAGAAAGGGACAAGAAGAAGTGGGGGAAATGAAGGGGGAAAGGACTAAAAAGGGACCATCTGGAACATAGGAATAACAGCGGGTCTAGCCCTCCACCATACTTATAGCTTTTCTCCATTCCGTTCTAAGACATACTGTCCGCCAATCCAATCTATATCTCACTCCATTAAATCTTGTTTTACTACTTTCCCCCAAGTAAGCTTCGGCCTACCTCTGCCTCTTTTTGTGTTGAGCTCTTGGTAACAAACTTCTGTTCTTACAGGAGCATCCATGGGTCTTCTCATCACGTGCCCAAACCACCTCAATCTATGTTCTCTCATCTTCTCGGCTACCGGTACTACTCCGACCTTTCGTCGAATATCTTCATTTCTTATCTTATCCATCCTTGTGTAACCACACATCCACCTTAACATCCTCATCTCTGCTACTCCCATCTTATGCTCATGTTGCCTATGTGCTGGCCAGCATTCTGCTCCATATAGCATTGCCGGTCTTACTGCCGTTTTATAGAATTTTCCTTTTAACTTCAGGGGGATTTTGCGGTCACACAAAAATGCAGATGCACTGCGTCATTTCATCGACCCTGCTCTGATTCTGTGATTTACATCCTCATCAATCTCTCCACCGTTTTGTAAAATGGAGCCCAAGTATTTAAAAGCATCTTTTTTGGGTACCTCTTGACCATTTAGATGCACAGGTTCTTGGTCCTCATCTCGTACCAGAGAAAACTCACACTTCAGATACTCAGTCTTGCTTCGACTTAATGTGAATCCTCTGGATTCCAATGTGCTTCTCCACAATTCAAGTTTTCTATTAACACCCTCCTTGCTCTCATCAATAAGCACAATATCGTCTGCAAAAAGCATACACAATGGCACTTCCTCATGAATATCTTTTGTTAGTTCATCCATAACTAAGGCAAAGAGGTAAGGACTTAGAGTCGACCCTTGGTGTACACCTACCGTGATAGGAAAATAACTTGATGATCCGTTACAAGCTTTTACACATGTAGTAGCCCCATCATACATATCCTTGATTGCCTTTACATACTTTAATGGAACCTTTTTCTTCTCCAGGACCCACCATAAAACTTTCCTTGGAACCCTATCGTATGCTTTCTCAAGGTCTATGAACACCATATGCAAGTCCTTTTTCTTTTCTCGGTATCTTTCCATTAGTTGTCGCATCAAGAAAATTGCTTCCATGGTACATCTTCCTGGCATAAATCCAAATTGATTTATAGAAACCTTGGTATCTCTCCTCAAGCGATGTTCAATAACCCTCTCCCACAACTTCATAGTATGGCTCATTAGCTTAATGCCTCTATAGTTTGAACAATTCTGTATATCTCCCTTGTTTTTGTAGATAGGCACAATCATACTTTTCCTCCATACATCAGGCATCTTATTCGTCTGGAGAATCTTATTAAAAAGATTGGTCAACCATTTTATTGCCACATCCCCCAGGCCTCTCCACACTTCAATAGGGACACCATCAGGCCCTAAGGCTTTATTAGTCTTCATCCTCTTTAAAGCCTCCTTAACTTCATGTGTATTAATTCTGCGTACAAATCTTCTATTCATATCATCACACGCGTCCTCTAAGTCCACCTCGCTTGTATCTCCATCCCCATTATACAGCTTGTTGAAGTATTTCAACTAGAAGATATCATATAATATTAAAATTATATCTTACTATAGTTTAGAGCATCTAAAGGATCTTGGTGCTTTGTCTTTTGCATCACTTCATATCACATCAATATACAATATTATTCAGTCTTCTCCCTTTTTCTCCATCTATACCTAAATCCCTATAATTTCAACATGGCATCAAAGCAATACGATCCTCCATGACCTGTCTGGTCATATTACACTGTTGAGTTCCCAAAAGTTCGAAGCTCTAATTTGTTTTCATGACCATCCTACTCCAGTTTTAGTCTCCCATCTTCCACCCACCATCTGCTTCCATCTCTTTGTCATTTCGTCTCTCCAACAACTTCCTATCATTGTCAACCCCTATCAACCGTCGTCGTCATCGACACCAAATATTTTCCGACAACCTTGCGAACCAATGGCATAGACATGTGTCTTTGATATCTGGCCTCGTTTGTCCTAGTTGGATTCTTGCCCCATCACATGTCCCAGTTGAAGCTTGGAATCATCAGTCTATGTCACAGATGTAGCCTGGCCTCGTCGGTCTATGTCCTAGATATGCAGTCCGGCCTTGGCCTTTCTCCCAAATGCAAGCTAGCCCTAGCCACCTCTAGTGCGGCCTTTTATCTTCACCTTTAGTGTTCTTGAAGATCCATTGGTCATTGTCCTTGATGACCCATTGTCACTGCCTTCATTGCATGCCAACGTCCCCCTGTTATACCTCTGAAAACCATATTTTTTGGAGCATAAATTACATTATTTATTTTTCTTTTTCTATTTAGTGGAGCATAAATTGTATTATTTATTTTTCTTTTTTTAAGGGTTTTATCTATAACAATCTAAAGCATAGTAATTTTTTGATTGAGGGGGAGTGTTAGAATATATAGAGAATCTCGTATAATATTAAGATTATATCTTAATATAGTTTACAGTAGAATAGAGAATCTCTTAGCATTAGTTTCTCTATTTCCTTATATTTCATGATTTGTTTCCTTATTTTAGGAGTCTACTATTGAATATTAAATATTGTATAATGATTTATCTCTTGTATCACTTCATATGACATTAATATACAATGTTATTCAATCTTCTCCCTTTTTCATCATCTATCCCTAAATCCCAATAATTTCAACAGGCTGCATGGTTTTTCAAGCACCATTGTTTCCGACAGAGACCATATATTCATCAGTATGTTTTGGAAGGAATTGTTCTGACTTTCAAGTACCAAGTTAAGATTTAGCTCATCCTATTACTGCAAACCGATGGACAAACAAAAGTGACTAATGGGACAATTGAGACCTAATTATAGTGTTTTGCTAATGGGACAAGTTAAGGAATTGTTCTGACTTTCAAGTACCAAGTTAAGATTTAGCTCATCCTATTACTGCCAACCGATGGACAAACAAAGGTGACTAATGGGACAATTGAGACCTAATTATAGTGTTTTGCTAATGATCACCCTAATCAATGGTTAGTGGCAGGCTTGGGCTGAATTGTGGTTCAATTAGGCTTTGTATGGTCCTGACCCTCCATGTATAATTCCTTTCTGCAAAGAAAATACTGTAGTGGCTGACGTAGATCAACTATAGATGAGTTATAACTAAATCTGTTGAAGTTTCAGCAGCTAATGGCCAACCAAGCTGATAGTGGAATTTTAAAGTGCCAGACATGGTTCATTCGAAGGCTCAGCCGTATAAACTAAAAAATGTAGCTCAAAGGGCTAATGAGAAACAAAGTCCACGGTTTTATGGTACATTTGAGGTGTTGGACAGGGTGCTGAAGTAGCTTACAAGCTGCAACTACTATACCCTATTTTTCATGTGTCAGAGCCTAAGAGCGCTTCTGCTAGTCTTCCTTGTCAACAGATTCCAACCTGTTTGATTGAGGAGTGGGAGTTGCAAGTTTTTCCTGAAGAAGTTTTGACTACTCGTAAACTTGTGAACAAGGTACTATCATAAGAAGGTACTACTCACTGTGGGGAGGAGGGCTCAGCCTCTAATTCATGTATATCATAAAAAGGAAATGGAGCAGAAGGGTAGAATGGGGAATGAGATGGGAAGTGTAGTGGAGGATGTTTTTATGCAGGAGAAAGGTGGCACTAACAGAATGGACACTCAGCAGCAAAAACTGGTGAAGAGGATGTTTCAATCATAGAAGGGATGTGAATATGAAGGGAATGGAGGGAGGGGTAAGGGGCATTGATTATTTGGGTGATTTGGGGTGGTTTTAGACATAGGGCAGAGATGCCATTTTGCTTCTCTGATATTCTATATTTTAATGTCCAATTTTCATACTGTTTCTACATTACACGTTTATAACAAAGTACTTGGAGCTTGTTTTTCCTTCTAATTTTCACTGATAAATTCAGAACCTATCAGTTGTACCAATACTTTCCACTGGGACAAAAACTTAATCACTCAATTTTTCAAGATAATACTTTGTTATAACAATAATATTTCCCAACAGCAAATAAGCCAAGCACTTGCCTCTAGATGTGTCAATTTCTAATCAAAAATTTGATGTAAGTCTAAATTCCTACATTCCTTCTTTATTCTTTATCTAATTGTGTCATTATTTAAGTAATATCATTTTCAGTCCAAGTTATTGTAACATTAAATCCCATTTGAGTTGGGCAACCATGAGAGGTAAACATACCAATTACATCTCCCTCTTCAGTTTCCTGCTCTGACTCTGAATCTGAACCCCATCGATCTCCTCCATCATCATGGTCCCAGCGATCTCCAACAGGAGGCATCCAGAAATTTTCCTCTTCTGTGTCACTGTCTTCATTAGAAGACTTCCTAACTTCAGAAATAATCTCTTCAACTCCCTTGTCCTTATTCTTTTTCTTCTTCTTCTTCATTCTATCCTTTTTTCCACCATCATCTGCACTTTGCGGCTCCTGTAAGCTCTCCTCACCTTCCATTCCATGGCACGACAACTTCTCTTCTTCCTCTTGTTCTGTTTATAGAAGCTAAAATGCATCAGTTTATGATGCTCTACAAAATTCATATGCATTCGCAGATCCTATAATCTGTAAATACTAGTAGGAAAACTGAGCCTCACCACATTATTTAAGCAACCACATTATTCCAAACCAAAAATTGGGTAAGTAGAAGGCATCACTAACCTAATTTATTGAGAAATCTCTTCCCACTCATATGCTTCCAGATATGTTCCTCGGACTTATTGACTTTATCTCCGGTTAGCTTACAGATCAACTTTGAACTGGAAAGAAGAACAAATAGCTATGTTATCACATACTTGTGAATAAAATCGCCAAACCATAACAGACATATAACATAGGATAAATTATTGATTGGACCATTGAAATTTGGCTCATTTTCATATTTTATTCAGAGTTTGTTTGGTAACACATAACCCCTTGAAGCTTGGTAGTGTTAGATTTAATCTTTTAACAGAGAGATAATCAAGTGCATGTCACATTAGGTCGCCAATATGCCGGAATTTTATGAATTAAGTATTAAAATTGGCTAAACTTTAAGAGGTTTATTTGTAAGAGCTTAACGTTTTTCTGTTAAATCAGTTGGAAATAAAAAGCATTCATGCACTTTTATCCAACATTTTAAACTTTTTCAATAGTTAGTTTATAACATAGTATTAAAGCCTCCATGATTATATGATCCAGAGTTCAATCCTTGTTGAGTAAGGGGTGGGCACGGTTCGGTTCAATTTTCTATGTCAAACAGAACCAAACCAATTTTAGTTGTTTGGTTCGGCAAACAGAGCCGGTTTCGATTCCAAACCTGTTCTGAATCGATTTTGAACCGGTCTAAGGCAAAAAAGTAAAATGAAAAAAAATATATACATACTATTTAAAGAAAAAGATTTAGTTTGATTCTTTCTGTCCGGTTCTTAAATCAGTTCGACAAATTCTAATTCTTTTTATTCGGTTAAGTTCCATTCCAGTTCAATTTTTCAGATTTTCTGCACAACTCCATTGTTGACCTTATTATTCCTCAAAAAAATTAAAAAAAAAAATTAAATGTCAGCAGCACAAGGTAGGGTGAGTCTGTAACTTTGGAGATAATTGTTTCATGACAAAATCTAAAACCTCATGATAGTAAAAACATTCTAAACATGATGGAAAAGGTAAAGGGGGGTTATTATTTACCGGCAGAGAGGGTCTTGCTTGAACATATTAAGAGGAGGTTTACTATTGGACAAGGCAAAATCGACGAGACCTAAACGGCACTTTTTACTGTGAGAGTATGACTCAATGTCCTTAGAGAGCAACTCGTGACCAGTCTCTACGCACTTGAAACGACCATTCCCAAGCTCTTTGAAGGTCGGTGACCCAAGCAAGTTGCTTCCTTCCTTCTTCCCATTCTCTTCGCTCATCGCCATACCCGTTTCGTAACCTCGAAGCCTGAGTAAGAAGAAAATAAATTAGACAAACCCTCTTTAATCGAGGAGGTTTATTGGAACTAATAGTCACATTAAACGGTGTCGTATTTTAACATGTAATTTTCTTTCTTTATGCCATTTTTTTCATTTAAATTCAAGATAAGGATATTGTGACAACCAAGTTGTGTTACTACCTAGTGACTACCAATTAATCTCACCATTAGATAGATTATGTTGATCCAACGGTTATATTTATTTTCATCTTTATATGGTTATAATTTCTCTTTAGATGAAAAAAAGACACAATAAGAGATAAGTGTTTAAAAAAAATGTAAGTGATTGAAAATAAAACCATATGAAATTTTTGATTTTATCCAAAATATTATTACACTGACATGCACCCTTTTTCTTTAAAAATGAAAAATCATAACCATACATACAAAGGTGAAAATAAATATAAAGTATAAAATTTGGGAACTGTGACCATACAAAGATGGAAATAAATATAACCGTTGGATCAACATAATCGATCTAACGGTGAGATTAATTGATAGTCACTTGGTAGTAACATAATTTGGTTGTCACAATATCATTCCCCTTAAATTCAATATCGATGTACTGCCAATCTCAACATAATTTTTTTTTATTATAATACAATATAATAATATAAATATAATAAAAAAAAAACCATTTCCTCTTAATTATATAAGAGAAAAAAGAACGTCATTGTAAAAAAGAAAAAAAGAAAAAGGGTGCATGTAATTAATGAATAGTGTAATAATATTTTGGATAAAATCAAAAATTTCATATGGTTTTATTTTCAATCACTTACATTTTTTTTTAAAACACTTATCTCTTATTGTGTGTTTTTTTTCATCCAAACTCATCTTTATTCATTTTAGAAGAAGAAAATAGACTATTGACAAAAAAATATAAGATTAAATATGTTGAAAACTTACAACACTAACATCAAAGACTAAAAGTACAAAAAAAATAGAAGAAAAAAGATTAAATATGTTTAAATCAAGAAAATAATATTAAATATGTCTAAAGCAAGAAAATAGACTGACGACAAAAAAAAAAAAAAAATGGGATAAAATAAGTTTAAAACTTACGAAAGTGACAAAAAAAGACTAAAATAAAAATAACCTTAATCAAAAAGAAGAAGATAAGTTGAAGACGGAAAAAAAATAGGAGGAAAAATAAGATAAAAATAAGACAAAAAATAAATAAATAAAATTAGTATGGTAAGTTTCAACATATTTGGTCATATTATTTTTTCTGTTTTGTCCTTAATTTATTTTCTACTTTTTGATTTAAATATATTTGTTTTTTTCTTCTATTTTCATTTTTTCACTATAAGTCTTTTCTAGCACAGTTAAAAAATAGAAAAAAAAAAGACAAACAAGAAATAGAAAAAAAAAAATTAGTCTTGTAAGTTTTCAACATATTTGGACTTGTTTTTCTTCTTTTTTTTTGTTGTCTTCACTCTATTTTTCTTATTTCTGATATTGACTATTTTTATTCTTTTACTTTTAGTATTTTAAGTGACTATTGTAAGTTTCCAATATATGGTCCTATTTTTTTGTCCTTTGTTTATTTTATTCTTTTTGATTTAGACATATTTGGATTTTTTATTTTATTTTTATTTTTTTCTTTTAATCTTTTATTTAAGTGTTGTAAGCTTCTAATATATTTGATCTTATTTTTTTATTTTTTATCCTCAATTTACTTTCTTCTTCTAAGAAAGATAAAATAGATAATTTAGTTAAATTTCTAACGATGATAAGGATGAGCTTGGATGGAAAAAAATTAGAGGATGTAAGTGATTAAAAAATATATATACAGGAGATAAGTGATTCAAAGCAAAATCATAGGGAGATTTTTGAACTCCTTCCATAAATTTTATACTAGCAATAAGTTAAAAAAAAAAAATTTATTGACAGCTCTTTTCAATTTATTTTATACATTTTAGTCTTAGTTATAACTCTATCAAATTTATATTTTAACGTGACAATGGAGTAAGGTGACAGTTCAGGTTAACATGACACGATACAAATTAATGCATGACATTAATGCAGCGAATAATTGTCTTTTTTTTTTTAAAAAAAAAAAAGTAAACTATGGGTGTGCATGACAACTATTCTGTTTCCTAGCACTATTTCTGAAAAAAAACAATTATTTTCTATTTTTATGTCTTGGAACAGTTTCTGAGAAAAAAAATGTGTTTGATAACATGTTCTATTTATATTCCGAGAATGAAAGTTCTATTTGATAACACAATAAATAATAGAATAAAAAATCATTCCTATCAAGCATAAAAAAAATTTAGATCATCACTTTCTTTTCATATGGTGTGGTGGTGGTGGTGGTAGCGGCGACGACGGTGGTGGTGTGGTGGTGGTAATGGTGGCAATGATGGCGGTGGTAGTGATGATGATAGTGATGGTGGTCGTGGTGATGGCATAGTGGCGGTGACAATGGTGGATGTAGTGGTAGTGATGATGGTGGCGTGGTGATGACGATGGTATGGTGGTGGTGATGGTAACGGTAGTGGTTGCGGCGATGGTGGTGGTAATGATGGTGGCGGCGGCAACGGTGGTGATAATTATGTGATGGTGGTGGTGATGGTAATAATAGTTGTGGTGGTGACGGTAGTGGCTACGGCGGTGGTGGTGGTGGTGACAATGATGATAGTGGTAGTGGTGGTGGTGATGGTGGCGGTGTGGTGATGATGGCATCGTGGTGGTGTTGGTAGTGGTGACAGTGATGGTAGTGATGGTGGTGGCATGGTGGTAGTGGCGGTGGTGGTGGTGGTGATGGTAGCGGTGGCATCGTGGTGGTGATGACGGCGATGGTACGATGGTGGCAGTGGTCGTGTCGGGATGATGGTGCTGGTGATTATGGTAGTGGTTGAGAGTGATTGAGAGAGGCAAATATTTCTCATTTTGTGCTCTGTAACAAAAAAGCAAAAAAAAGAATTTTTCTTTTTTGTGTGCACCAGCATGGAAATTGAACCGGTTCATTCTCAAGAACAAAAAGTTAACCTGATTTTGTCAAACACAATTTCTATCCATTTTTGTTCTCGGGAACAAAAATTGAAAAAAAAAACTGATTTTAGGAAAGTTGTCTTATATGCGCTAAATGAATAATATATTTTAGAAGGTGTTTGGTAGAGGAGAAATATTTTTTTCTTGAGAATCGTGATTCCCAGGAATATGATGGGAAAGTTAATTTCCCATAAATGTTTCCAAAAAAATTGTTTGGTAGGTCAAAATATTCCTAGGAATGTTAGCTCAAGTTTCGTGATTCTATGTTTGGCTGGTTGTCAATGATTGCTGCGAATGTGGGCTGATTTTACAAAACTAACCTTTAAGATGAACCTCCATTTTGCCACGGAAGAACACCCAAATGTCTTGCCATCTGTTCACTCGAGCTTTCTCTAGCATCTGTCGTACACTTTTTTGCAAAATGTATGGCGGTATAACTACATTCTTAACGTCCTGGCATGATGCTTGTGCACAACACTGAACGTCTGCAACACAATCGAGTTTTTCCATATTTCGTGTATCTCCTCAGCTATTGCCACGTCCTCCATCACAAACACAAAAAACCAAAGTAATTAAAAAGAAGGAACACTTTTAATGAAATGTGAATTTTGAACAATGTTTGGTTACGTACGATGGTGAGAAAACATGCGCCAAAATCGTGGGAAGCGACAAAAATGTGATCGTATCCTCTGCTTCTGTTTCAGAATTGGTACTCGGTGGAGATGATTTGCACCGCGGATGCAATGAGTGAACGTGCATAGCCAATCGTCGGAAAACCATTGTTAGTGCTAAAATTGCAAGACACGTAGACATGGACGAAGAAAGGGTATTTTAGTTTTAAAGCAGGGTTATTTTAGATATGAAAATTTTGGAAAAATTTCCCAGCGGGTGGGAATCCAAGATTACCACCCACCCGATGTTATTCTTTGTTGGGATTTTGCTTCACAATTTTAAATCTTGGGAGCATGATTTTTCCAAAAAAAAATTCACAATCTTTATATCAAACGTGGGTAAATAAGATTTCCAATATGAGTTTCCCTCATCTAAAATTTATCCATCTACTACGAAACCCCTAAAGTAGCCATTCTTTTTTTTCTATGGCACATAATGTTGTAATATGCAAGATGTTTCCATGAAGCACAATTCAACCGCTATCATTTTTCACGTTGACATCCAAGTGAATGGGAAAAAAATAATAACTTAATTATTACAATTGAAATAACAAATTACGGAAATAATGTGGATTTAAAATATCATACGAAAATTATGTAGGTAGTTGCGCATATAATTGCATAACTAGTTGCGCACAAAGTTGATGTGCAACAGCCATGTGGCAACGCCCGATTAGTTGTAAGTTGTAACTACTTGCGTAGGAGGGATGCTCCACCCCACCCCACCCGACACCACAACCCCTCAGTATATCCTTTCCACCATCTCTTTACAATCTCTCCCTACAACTTCTTTATTGGAGTTATCCCACTCAAATAAGTTTTCTAACCTTCTATTTAAATTTTTAAATTATAATAATAGGTATGTAGTGACTTTGGACAGGATAATGATTTAGAATTAGATAGTAACTTAGGATATGGTTAATGACTTATGATAGAATAGTGATAATTATGTATAGGTAGGTTACTGATAATTTTATAGAATAACATTGTGATAAATATGTGTAGGTAAGGTAGAGGTTTTTTTTTACGTAAAATAATGTTAATTATATTTTGAGTCTGTAGTAATAATGAACAATATTTAGTAATTAGTACATAGTGAATAATAATTAATTAATAATTATATTATTTATTTGAGGTTTAGTTAAAGTAAATATTTTGTTTGTTAGATTAATATGTGCATGATTAGAAGGATTTGAATAATAATTTGTTGATTGATTATGATGCATAATTTATTCTTTTGCATTGTACCAATTCTGTAAATAAATAAAAAAATTATAGTGATGTTAATTATTTTTCCATTGAAGTTAATATGCTAAA